CTGCCTTTCTCCTACCTGCACCAGGACCACTATGAGGAATTCCTTGGGATTTGTTCATGTGAAGGAGTGACATTCTAGTGTTCCAGGCTTCACTAACCCCCGGACCAAACCTTCCTATGTCAGCCTGACCTGTCCCTTAATGACCTAACCCACCTATTCCCAACAAACCCTAAATTTACCACCTCTAACATGACCCAATGTAACCTAACCAATACAGCACAGCACATGTCATCACTACTTGTGTAAGACATTATCAAGACGTTAAATATTATCTATTAATCATGTACTGTACACAACACTACAGGTACAGTACCACACCATCAATCATCACTACAAGGCGGAACACAGCACCACCCCCAACCTACTGTATATCGTCTTCAATAAGTAACTTAATTTACCATGAAAAATAATGTATCTCATTATCAATCTTGACTATTGTGATCAGAAATAAAGTTGCCTATTAAATTTTACAAATGAATGAATCACATCAAGAACCCGTAGAAAACATTTGATAACGTTAGTGTAAGTCGTGAATCTCCTGGCTCCAGCCTCGACCACGGCTGCTGAACAAGTGCCTGCGTCACAATCGGCCAGGACACCTTCCATCAGGCACGGCCAGCATGACAGGGTGGCCAATCACAGGCCAAGACGAGAGAAAGGAGGCGGAGCTATTTGACAATTCCTTGAGCAGACAATAGTATACCTTAAACCACTTGATGTAAACCCAAACCACTTAGTATAATCTCACACCACTTAGTGCACGCCCATACAAATTAATTCCCACACCACTTAAGTGCCCACCATAATATGTCCCCATGACACTTGTCACCCCAACACCACTTAGTCCACCCAAACACCACTTAGTTTACCCCACACCCCGGCCACCTAGTACCCCCCAGCCGCCAGGCACCCCAGCCACTTAATGCACCCCCGGCCACTTAGTGCACCCCCAGCCATAGCTCGGGGCGAGAAGTAACTGCTGCCGGGGTAGGCGACGAACAGACATACACCTGAAGGTCACTCTCCTCCTCCTCTCCTCACCTTCCTCTGTCCCTCTCTTTCTCGCCTCCTCCTTCTCCCTCTTCCCTTCTCCTGTCCTCTCTCTTTCTCGCCTTCCTCCTCCTCTCCTTACATCCTCCTTCTCGCATTTCTCTTATCCCTCCTCCTCCTTCCTTTACTCCCTTCCTCATACCATCATCATCCTCCTCCTCCTCCTCCTTGCTTCTTGCCTTCCCTCCATACCATCAATTCTCCTCCTCCTCCTCCTCGCTTCTTGCCTCCCTCACTACCATCATCCTCCTCCTCCTCCCCTCCCCTCCTCGCTTCTTGCCCCTCCCTCATACCATCATCATCCTCCTCCTCCCCTCCCTCCTCCTTCTTGCCTCCCCTCATACCATCATCCTCCTCCTCCTCCCCTCCTCCTCTTCTTGCCTCCCTCCCTACCACCCATCCTCCTCCTCCTCCTCCTCCTCCTTCTTGCCTTCCCTCCCATACCATCATCTCCTCCTCCTCCTCCTCCCTCCTTCTTGCCTCCCTCCCATACATCATCCTCCTCCTCCTCCTCCTCCTCCTTCTTGCCTCCCCCTCCTTCCATCATCCTCCTCCCTCCCTCCTCCTCCTTCTTGCCTCCCTATACCATCATCATCCTCCTCCTCTCCTCGCTTCTTGCCTTCCTCATGCCATCTGCCTCCTCCTCTCTTCCTAACCTTTGACCTTTCTTGACCTCCCTTTTCTTTGTTCCTCACCCTCTTCTCCTTCTCCCCCTCCCACTCTCTTCCACCTCTCCCTGCTCTCTTCCTTCTCTCCTCCCTGTCCCTCTCTTCCTCCCCTCATCTCCTCTTCCTCCCTCACACCTCCTTCTCCATCTCCTCCTTCCCTCTCCTCCTCTTCCTCTCTTTCTCCCCCTCCTCTTACCTCCCTCTCCCCCCCCAGCCAAGTTCACCTCCCTCACTGGCGAGTCACTCATTGCTCGCCCGCTCACACAGGGGGAGGACGCTACCCGTGTGCGTGTGTTAAATTATAAGTGTTTTAAGTGATTGACTCTACATAGTTCACACGCTTAATTCTCATCACGCTGAAGGTAAGTGTGTCCTAATGTTAAGTGTGTCCTAATGTTAAGTAGATATCTGAGTGTGTCCGGGGATGTCTCAGTGTGACCCGGAGATGTCTTAGTGTGACCAGGGATGTCTTAGTGTGACCCGAAGATGTCTTAGTGTGACCCGGGGATGTCTTAGTGTGACCCGAAGATGTCTTAGTGTCCTGATATTGTGTCCTAACCAGACTAAGTTTAAATGAATGTGATGGAGGGCTCTGGGACAGTGTGGAGGTAGTGGATATCTTGGGGTAGTGGAGGCCATCAGGGTACCAGTCAGTGTGGAGGTAGTGGAGGACCAGTCTAGTGTGGAGGGTAGTGGAGGTACCAGTCTAGTGTGGAGGGTAGTGGAGGTACCAGTCTAGTGTGGAGGATGGTGGAGGTACCAGTCTAGTGGAGGTAGTGGAGGTACCAGTCTAGTGTGGAGGTAGTGGAGGTACCAGTCTAGTGTGGAGGGTAGTGGAGGTATAGTCTAGTGTGGAGGTAGTGGAGGTACCAGTCTAGTGTGGAGGTAGTGGAGGTACCAGTCTAGTGTGGAGGGTAGTGGAGGGTACCAGTCTAGTGTGGGGGGAGGCAGTCGTGGAGGATAGTGGGGTCCAGTCAGGTGGAGGGTGCCAGTCATGTGGAGGTAGTGGAGCCAGCTAGTGTGGAGGTCCAGTCTGTGTGAGAGGGACCGTGAGGTGTAGTACCAGTCTGTGGAGGGTAGTGGAGGTACCAGTCTAGTGTGGAGGTAGTGGAGGCACCAGTCTAGTGTGGGATAGTGGAGGTACCAGTCTAGTGTGGAGGATGGTGGAGGTACCAGTCTAGTGTGGAGGGTAGTGGAGGTGCCAGTCTAGTGTGGAGGGTAGTGGAGGGTACCAGTCTAGTGTGGAGGGTAGTGGAGGGTACCAGTCTAGTGTGGAGGGTAGTGGAGGGTACCAGTCTAGTGTGGAGGGTAGTGGAGGGTAGTGGAAGACAACAGCGTTAATATCATCATCTTAACTACAACTGAAAAACTAAAACTAAAACACATCATCTAGGAAGGCCTTTTGCTCGCCAGTAACTTACACGTCCCAATTAACTCATAATGGAGACATGTTCGACTAACTTCCTTAAGCTATTGCACACACACATGGGATCCAAGATGGCGTCGATAGTGTACTGAGACTATAGTCAACTGGACAGTGTATTCTATTATGGGAGGAAATTCAGGTTCTTATCACTTTTTATTTACTTCCATTATGTCTACTCCCATTATGTCTACTCCCATTATGTCTACTCCCATTATGTCTACTCCCATTATGTCTACTCCTTTATGTCTACTCCCATTATGTCTACTCCCATTATGTCTACTCATTATGTCTACTCTCATTATGTCTACTCCATTATGTCTACTCCCCATTATGTCTACTCCCATTATGTCTACTCCCATTATGTCTACTCCCATTATGTCTACTCATTATGTCTCTCCCTTATGTCTACTCCTTATCTCTCCCATTATGTCTACTCCCATTATGTCTCTCATTATGTCTACTCCCATTATGTCTACTCCCATTATGTCTACTCCCATTATGTCTACTCCCATTATGTCTACTCCCATTATGTCTACTTTGAAAATGTCACATATTACCAAAATGTCTACTATGAGTTAATAACCTAACAAACCTAACCTAACCAATAATGTTGGTTGACGACGCCTGTTTGGTAGGTTCTTACGTCACATCTTACGACACAATACAAACTTGTGATTTTCTGAGCATTAGGAGTGAGTTCCTCGATAATTACTAGTTATGGAGGGTAGTGGAGGTGGAGGTGGAGAAACACACGTGTGTGTGGAGGGTAGTGAGGATCTTAGAGTGTGTGGAGGGAAGGAAGAGTGTGTGGGTAGTGGAGGTAGTAGGTGGTGGAGTGGAGGGAAACAAGTGTGTGTGGAGGGTAGTGGAGGGTCCTAGAGTGTGTGGAGGGAAGTGGAGGGAAACAAGTGTGTGTGGAGGGTAGTAAGTATGTGGAGGGTACTGGAGGGTATGGGAGGGAAGCAAGGGTAGTGGAGGGTAAGAGGAAGGCAAGAGAGCGAGCAGGGGTGAGAGTACTGCATTATTAGGCAAGCGAGTGTGCTAGCCTCAGGGTGTGGACACTAACGAGTCCCGCCGAGAGGTGACTGACCACCACAGACGTCAAAGATGGTGTTGTTGGGCCCATGGTTACGTTAGGTTACGTTAGGGTAGGTTACGTTAGGTTGGGGTAGCATTAGGTTAGGTTCGCGTTAGGTCAGCGTTAGGTTAGGTTCGCGTTAGGTCAGCGTTAGGTTAGGTTCGCGTTAGGTCAGCGTTAGGTTAGGTTCGCGTTAGGTCAGCGTTAGGTTAGGTTGAGGTAGCATTAGGTTAGGTTCGCGTTATGTGAGATTAGATTAAGTTAGGTTAGCTTAGATTAGTTGGGTTAGGTTAAGTTGGGTTGGGCTAGGTTGAGTTAGGTAAGGTTAGGTTAGGTTAGGTTAGGTAAGGTCAGACACTATTATATAACGCCTCGTCTGGGATGAGGTTCTGTATACAGTATATTACACGTTAGTTCTGGGATGAAAAAATCAGCATGACACTGAGTTTTATGTTCAAGGACAATATACTGCACATGTCTTCTTCACACACACACACACACACACACACACACACACACACACACACACACACACACACACACACACTGAATACAGAATATCAATGCCAGGTTAGGTTAGGTTAGTTTGCGAGAGGTACTTGTCATTATAACCCTATTTTTCCCTGCCAGAGTTACGGGCTAGGGGAAAATAGTTTTGTGTACTGGAAGGGAATGTTGAGGTCACAGGGAATTTCCCCGAAAACTGCCACTACCACCATCACCACCACTACCACCATCACCATCACTACCACCATCACCACCACTACCACCACCTTCACTAATACCACCACCACCACCACCACCACCATTACTACCACCACCACCACCACTAATACCACCATCTCCACCACCACCTTCACCACCACTACCACCATCACCACCACCACCACCACCATTACTGCCACCACCACCACCACTATTACCACCATCTCCACCACCACCTTCACCACCACTACCACCATCACCACCACTACCACCATCACCATCACTACCACCATCACCACCCACTACCACCATCACCACCACTTTCACCATCACCACCACTGCCACCATCACCACCACTGCCACCATCACCATCACTACCTGCATCACCACCACCTGTCACCATCACTACCACCATCACCACCCTACCACCATCACCATCACTACCACCACCATTACTACCACCACCACCACCACTAATACCACCATCTCCACCACCACCTTCACCACCACTACCACCATCACCACCACTACCACCACCTTCCCCACCACTACTACCACTACCACCATCACCACTACCACTACCACCACCACTAGTACCACCCTTACCCCCTCTAGTAGGCTGACCAAGAGAGTCAGTAGTGTGGGTCATTGTCCTAAGGGGGACAGAGACGCCATATGCTCCCTCCTGGACCCCAAAACATACGCGATTCTCAGACCAAAGACTCACCTGAAGATTAACACCCCCTGTTTATATTAACTTTAATTACCTTGATGTTAACTTAACCTAACCTAACCAGATTCACCTGAAGATTAACACCCCCAGAGTTTATTAACTTTAATTACCTTAAAGTTAACTTAATCTAACTTAAACCTAACCTAACCTTAAGCTCACCTAACCTAATTTAACCTAATGCTAACCTAACATAACTTAACCTAACCTAACCCTAAGGTAGTGTTATGGTGTGTAATCATTAGGTGAAATAAACATACATTACCTTTCACCTGGCCTGATGACACGTGGGGCCTGTACACACACACAGGTACAGGTCACGTCTTACAGAATACACACACACACACACACACACACACACACACACAGGTACAGGATTACGTCTTACAGAATACACATGCACACACACACACACAGGTACAGGTCAAAATGCCTGGAGAATACACACACATACACACACACACACACACACACACACAGGTACAGGTCACGTCTTACAGAATACACACACATACACACACACACACACACACACAAGGTACAGGTCGTCTTACAGAATACACACACATACACACACACACACACACACACACACACACACACACACTTTGGTAACGATATTGGTATGTGGTAATGGGTTAGGTTAGGTTAGGTTAGGTTAGGTTAGGTTATGTTAGGTTAGGTTACAATACCTTGATGCTCAGGTAGGACTCGTAATAATAACACCTTGGGTAAACCTTCACCTTGACGGCCTCTACCGGCATCATCCTCAACTATCATGGTGGTAATGGCTGTGATTGGTTCATTTTTTCTCAAGGTCACTGCTGATTGGTCTGTCATCCTTCCTCCCGCCGCCTCATACCTCCTTCCCTCCCTTCTCTTCCTTCTACTTCCACTGCTTCTTCATCCTCCTTCACCCTCTCCTTCCTCCTCCTCCTTCACCCTCTCCCACCTCCTCCTCCTCCTTCTACCTCTTCACCTTCCCCTCCCTCCCTCCTCCTCCTCCTCCTCCCGTGTCCCGAGGCTCTGCCCACTCCCACACTATTTTTTTTATGACGGAAGACTCTGTCAACACACACACACACACACACACACACACACACACACACTGTTTTGACTTGAGTCCATTTGTTTCACTATTTTGACTTAAGTCCATTGATTCACTGTTTTGACTTGAGTCCATTGATTCACTGTTTTGACTTGAGTCCATTGGTTCACTGTTTTGACTTAAGTCCATTGATTCACTGTTTTGACTTGAGTCCATTGATTCATTCACACGTGTTCAGTGACGTGAACCATTCATGTTACCAACGTTTATCATGTTGAGAACGTGTACAGGGTAAGACCAAGTGGTGGAACAGGTGAGGAAGACAAGATCCTGTTCGATCTCCCTCACCCCATTACCACAGGATCTCCCTCACCC